ATAACCATTTGTGCCACCAGCACTCCTATCTCCATATTTATATCTCTATCCATACTTATCTCTGTATGTATCTATCTATCTAATCTCTCTCCAAAGGAAGGTTGATAGTGCCTTGGAAACCCAAGGAGGGGTCACTATGAGTCAGATTCGACTCAATGGCAAACAACACAAAAAGATCTAATCTCTAAATATATATAGACTACTTTTCACCTCTTTAAAATTTCAAAAGAACTTTGTGTTAGACTGGGTTCTCTAGAGAAACAAAACCAGTAAAGCTTATAGAGAGAGAGAAAGAGAAATTTATCTTAAGAAAATGGCTCACACACAGAAGCTGGCAGGTCCCAATTTCTTGGATCAAATGTCAAGCTGGAGGCTTTTCCCGAGTTGTGCAGCTGCAGGGGCTGAGGAGCTCAAGGTTGGCAGGCAGTATACTGGCAGTGTACTGGCTGTTGACTCCAACGAATGACAAATCCAAGATCTCTAGGCTGAATGTTGGATTATTCACTCACAGACAGTTGTAGGCAGCACAACAGAATCCCAATCCACAGAAGAATGTCTCTTTTTCCAGGGTGTCCATAAATATACTGGAAGCAGGCCACACCCCTAGGGAAACTCCCCTTCAATGGATTGGCTGCTCAAAACATATACATCCGATCCCATCATGGGAACAACCCACACCACAATTGCTTAAACCACACAGAATTGTGATCCAACCAAGTTGACACACAGCTCCAACTATCACAGACTTGAAGTAACTAATCTAATAGCCACATTCATTGTGATGGTTTATTTTAGCAGTTTATACAATAGATCAGTAAACTAGACAATAAATACTGTCCTCTTCATCTTGTTTTCAAAAAAATAGGCAGGGAAAAGTACAATTACTTTTTTATCAGTATAGGTAAATGGGTATTTATGTTTAAAAGTTTTCCCTTACTGGTAAATCTGTATTTCCATTTGAAGTAATTTGTTTTAATTAAAAAGTAAAGAAGTGCCAAATTTGCCTGCTTTGTGCATTAATGTATTTTAACTAGAGCTTATCACCACTGATGGAGTAGATTAGTGCCTTTGTGTTGCCCATGTAAAGGAGATGATGAAGTGATTGTTGTGTTGTTTATTGAAGAATTTAAAAAAAAAATGGTATTATTTTGTCTCTGTTGGCATGCCCTTCTTTATCTGTGGAGATCAAGTCATTAGCTCAAGTAAGAAGCACTAGAGACAGCAGGTCAAGCCTCTGCATTCTTACCTCAAAAAGGAGGCTGCAGTGTTGGATTTTACCCTCCGCCCTGGCTTGTCTTCCATCTCATGTTATTGGCTAACCATCACTGACAATCCTAAAAGCAATAAAAAATAGCCTTTCACTGTTCCACTTGCATTACTTCTGTGTGGGAGCTGTGTTTGCTTTTCTGTGACACTCTTTTTGTTTATTTGTTTTCCTTTGATTCCTTGAGAACTTATTTGAAGGTCAAAAGATTTATTCTCAAGAATGGTGGATTGTTCATTTTAAGACTACATTTCATAGTTGTGGAAATTGATTTGCCTGGAAATTGTTGAGTGTCTTCCAGTCTGAACTGGAATGGTCTAAACAGGCAGGAGTGGAGATTTGTTTGATGGCTAGGACTCATGTAGCCCTGAGTTAAAGTCAACCTTAGGTCTGGGCCACAGGACCACAGTCCTGGGTCTCATGATTTCAGTGTCCTGTTCTGACCACCCTCCACCATCCATCCCCATAGTGGAGGATAATTGGGATGTGTCACCAGGAACTCAGCAAACTGATACTAGTCCTCTTCTAGACTGAGGATCCAGGGACCCAGGACTTTCCACTTCAAAGGCTCCAAACTCATTCCAGAGCCTGTTGTGGCCTCTTCATCAGGTTTCTGGCAGTTCACACATTTCTTGGCTGGGATGCTTGTCAAGGATAGCTATTGTGGGGGGAGCAGTGAAGGGAGCAACTGACAGAGCTGTGGAACCAAACATGGACCTGTGGTCTACGTCTGCAAGAATTCTCAGGGCCCTTCCAGTGCAAGACAGAGGTGCGGATAAGGAGGGTACACTTGCTGCCAGCCCTAGACAGGTTTTTTTTAATACCTAAGGAAAAAAAAAATGACCCCACCTTTTATATGATTTTGAGTTAGAAATGAGAGTACTTGAGATTATTTGTAACTGACAATTATTTTGAAAATGTGGGTGTTTTTTGATGGCATGTAATCAACACTGTTTATACCTTACCACAATAATATAGAGACCTAATTTCCTGAGGTCTGCCAAAGCTGCTAAATCTGTGGTAAAATAATAAAAAGGAGTAAAAATAACTTGTGGTCTATGTTTCTTTTTTAAATACAGGTATACACTAAGTAAGGTTGTAGAGGCTATTAGTTGAGACATCTTGATAGTCAAAAATTTGATTCCAATTCACTTTCATAGAAGCCTGGGAGGTGCAAGAAATTTGTTATCCTCTGCTAGCCTAGAAGTTGGAAGTTCAGACTCATCCAGAGGTACCACAGAAGATGGGCCTGGTGATCTGCTTTTGTTAAGATCACAGTCAAGAACATCTTATAGAGCAGTTCTACCCTGTAATAGAGTCACCATGATCAGGACTCACTCAAAGACAGCTAACAACCACAATTCTCTTTTCTAGATGGGGAAAGTTAGTCAAGGAGGGCTTTTGCTGGTTCTAAAGCTGGAAACGATAAAGACAGATGACCATATCCTATTAGCTGTTATAATTGCCTCAGAATAGATGCTAAAAGAAAAGCTGAAAACAAATTATCTGCCACAATTTTGATCTAAGAAAATTATATAATTCTAAGCTAAATAAAATTAAAGAGCTCTCTTCATGACAGAACATCAGAGGGTTATTAGTACATTTATACATATTGTGATACAATAAAAAAAAAAAAAAAAACTATAGCAAGACTCTTCCCTATGTTTATTTTACCATACAATCATTTATAGAGTGAGTTTCATGAAACTGGGGCTTCCAGAAGTCACTTGAAAGGATACACACCTTAGGCTATTCCTTCTATTGACACATCTTTGGGCCAGTTTGGGATGCATGGGTCCTTCCCTGGCATTTGTATATTTTTCTTATTTCCCCCTTATTTTCTTAATTCCTCCAATTTTAAAATAATCTATAACCTTTGTCCCACAAATGAATACTTATTTCTTCTCAATAAATCTTAAAGTCTATGTTATCTAATCACATATAAAAACTTTGAGTAGTTTTTTATTCTAGATGCAGCAAATCATTACTATCATATTTATCTTTTAAATCATCTCTACTTTTTTTTTAATCCAAAGCTTTTACATTGGGTTGAGCCATAATAAACAGCTGATATTCAGCTTACAAAAGTGATGATTGCATATGGTTCCACCTAATATGATAATGTTGTTGAAAGTCATAACAGCTTCCAAGATACTTAATTTATCAAAACAAATATAGGCACTTCAAGAATTTGATTAATACTTCTATAGATTGATTCTATAGATTTCTACAGATTTTATAGATTAGACAGTTGACAGGAGAGATGACTTATGATCGTAAATGATGCCAATTTGACCGAGATTGCTAATAGGAATACAAAATGATACTATCAATTCAAGGGAGTAATGTGCACCAAATAAAGTGAATTTCAATTAGAGCACAAGGCAAGGTTTATTTTTCATAGAACAGAATAATTAGTTTTACAAATGCAACAGGGGTAAAAGTATCAACATGGCCTGAGCTGCCTAATGAGGAATTTTTTTAAATAATAACCAATCATAGATTCAGGCTCTGCAGAGCATGCCCAAATGGGCAGCCCCTCAGCTATTCATTCTAATCAGCCATCTGGACCCCATCATGTGCAATGTCTTCCATATTAACTGACCAAATCGATGATGCCATTCCATTGTGGTCTATATATTCCAGACATTAAAGTGTGTAATTATCCTGAGTAATATAAAAAATATTATAGTGTAATTATCTTGAGTAATATAAAAATGATTACTCTTCATGCTACCCATTCAGATTCTGTTCAACTTTCAAGGCCCAGTTAAAGATCAGGGCAGTCCAGAAAGTCTGCCTTGGCTACTTTGCTGTTACTGCTTATTTCTATAAATTACAGACTACATTACCCAACTTCACACAAGAACCAATAAACATTTCTGGCTAAAGATGATAATATCAGCTTGTTTATATATTTTCCTCAAACATTATAAATTCCTTGAGGACAAAGGCCAAGTGTTATATATGTTTTTACCTTTCATGAGACTAAGATGGGGGCAAAAAACATCAGTTAGCTTCATCAGGCTAGACTTAATAAATTTAATGATAATAACAATAATAGCAGAATTCCCTAAAAGCAAAATGTTGATTTGAGAGTATGAAAGATTGACAAATTTCTGTGACAGTAGATGGATATGACTTTTATCCATTTGACGCTTGAACCCAATTTTCTCATTATGAAACAAAATAAAATATATAGTTATTTTTAAGTCAATCAAATAGTAAGATGATACATAATACATCTGTAAATTTTCATTACATTTAAATTCAAATAAATATAAGGCTCTCATTTACCTTGGAGAACTTTTATGTGAAGTTCCTTATTTTGAGTTTATGAGTTTATGTGTTGTAAAATATAATTAAATAGAAATAATTATTACTCTGCCTTTATTTTCTAAATGCTGTGGTGCTATGTAGATTTCTTTTTTTTCTTTAGTGCTAAATTTTCTGATAATTACAGCTTATTAGTTTGCAGTTGGTTATCTATCATAATGTCTCTATAAATTAACTAAACTTGTTAGAATGATTTTGCAAACCTTGATTTTTGAAGTACAATATTCATACTCAATTATACTGTATGTAATAGCAGTATCCCTCAGCCATTGTTGTACATTTGTATTAAAAATTTGTTATAGCTGAGGCCAGAACAATATCACCCTTAATAGTTTAGTTATAGGAATGGCCTCTTTTGAAAAACCAACTTGAGTCTAACTGGATGGTGTTAAATTCTCAGGTCACGGCAAATGCGACTGTGGCAAGTGTAAATGTGATGAAGGATGGTCGGGGGAAGCATGCCAGTACCCAACCAAGTGTGACCTGACCAAGAAACAAAGTAACCAAATGTGCAAGAACTCTCAAGATATCATCTGTTCTAATGCAGGTAAGAATTCCCTCCTTAAGAGGAGATGGGAGTGTGGCTAATTGCCCCCATGAATAGCTGCCTCCTTTACCATGAGACCAGAAGAACTGGATGGTGTTCAGCTACCATTACTGAACATTTTGATCAAAGATGCAATAGAAGAATCTTGAACATAAAGAGGGAAATGCAGAACAGAATTTCAAATTCTTCTGGACTCCAGACTTCCCAGATCCCAGAGGATGGATGAACCTGAGATAACCTTTAAACCTTAAACCAAAAATATCTCTTGAAGTTTTCTTAAAATCAAGCAATACTTTAGCTTAACTAGTAAAAAATGTCCTCCTTGAGCATTATGTTCTTTTAAGAACCATATATATGGAACAAATTGACAGTAGCAACTTAAAAGATACGATAGGAACATTAGAGGGCAGTGAGTTTATGTTTATCAGGGAGGAATAACTCAGAAAAGGAGGGTGAGAATGGTTGCACATCTTGAAGAACATAATCAGTCATTAAATTATCCATGTAGAAACTGTGGAATTGGTGTATGTTTTGAGTGTATATTCTCAGCAACAACAACAAAAATAAAATTTAGGGAAAAAAAGAGAGAGGGAGAGAAAAAAAAAAAAAAATTCCCTCCCTATATGAAAATTCTTAAGTAAAATATTCAAGTTTCACTTTGTAATGGAAAAATGTAGGTTGGGAGAAATGCTGAACCTGTGAGTGAGACTGCTTTTGAGTATAATTTTTAGATATGGAATTTAGATAAATCAATGGAAAGAAAGATGTCATCTTGCTGAGACTGGCAAGTTTGATATTCTCCAGCTGTTTCTAATGTAGCCTTCACTCGAGATATTCACTGGAAACAACACCCAACAACATTTTATGTAAATTGTGAAACATGATGTTGAATGGTGGATTAAATCCTTTAAAAGGATTTATATAAACCCACTTAATTATTTTCTGTTACAGATCGAAGATCTGCAAATTTATACTTTAGTTTCAAACAGAACCAAAGCACTTTTAGTTTGACAGAAGTTTTAAAGTCACTGAATGTGAAGCTCATTGAAGAGTATAATAACAGAATGATTTTTTGTTTGGCTAAAATATTTTTATATCTTATAGAAGTCACTTAAAATATTTCTTAGAAATTTACAGAAAAGCTGTAGAAATCGATTACCAAAACCATGTAAAACAAAACAGCTGCAGTTTCATTTTCAGTAATATTAAGCCAGTGTTACTATAATTACATATCTTTTTAATATTTAGGCACATAGAGGCTCAAAGTCAGTTTTTCTCATTCCTGATTGAACATGAAAATCTCAGGAAGTAATTAATAGAATGTCAATGCCCATTGCCCTCTCCAGAGGACTTGATTTAATTGCTTGTGGTCATGGCCTGAATTCACTGGGTTTTTAAAGCTCTCCAGGTGATTCTAACTTAAAAGCCAGTGCTGTGAGCCATTGCATTAAATGCTAAAGATGAGGATTTGACTCCATGAGTGAAGATCTTCCCTCCTGAAGCTTGCATTATTGGCAGGGCCCTTCTGCAATCAGAGCTAGCACCTTACCACAGAGTCTTTGATTGCAACAAATTGCTCCATGCAGGTTAAACTCAGTAAGGGAGTTTTGCTAATAGAAATCAGGGCCATATCCAAAGAGATGTGAGTGGATTAGTCAGGAACTATGACAAAGGGTGTTAACAGTTAGGTCATTTCCCGTCTTCGCAGACATTATCTTGCTTCTCTAGTTCTTCAATCTTTCCTTTTGGTAGAATTTTTCTACTTGCAATGTATAATACCCACCAAACGAAAAGAAAATACATGCATATACATAATTTCTTTCATCCTGAAAATTATTCTTTTCAAACTTCTTGCAGTAACAGGACTGAAATTGTTTTGTTTTGTTTTCTTAATTTACTGTTTTTACATGGATAAACGGATGGATGGATGGATGGATGGATGGAGAGCTTGATTTCTAAATAAACTTCAGGTATTTTTTAAAAAAACATTAACATTTTATAAGCAAACAGAATTTAGTATATATATATATATATATATATACATATATATATATATATATATATAAAATTATAATCATTCGAAATACAATTGAGCTTTCAGTTTTAGGTTTAGAAGTTTTTTTTTTCTTCTCCTCTCATCCTTATTGATTTAATTTTTTTAAAAATAATATAGAGAATATTAACATGTTTGCAAAAGACAAAACTATACAAAAGAATATCATTAGAGAATCACTCTTTTTGTTATACATCCATCTTGTTTCCCCTCACACCTTGTAGATAACCTTCCTTATTGCTTTCTGCCTTTTCTGTCTATGTTATATTTTGCAAGATGAATAGATATATACATTGTTATTTTTCATTTTTCCTACAAAAAATGCAGCGCATTATACCTCCTGTTTTGTCCTTTGATTTCACTACTCAACAATTTATCTTTTCATTTACTCCATTTCACTTCATAAAAATCTTCATCATGCTTTTTTCAAATGTATAGGATTCAATTACATGCATATAACACAATCAATCTCCTGTGCTTGAACATTTAGGCAATTCCTAATGTTTTGAAATTACAACTAATGATGCAATGAATGACTTAATTCTTATGTGTTTTCCTATTATTGGAGTTGTATATTCAAAACAAAAATCCTCACAACTGGACCAATATGCAATGTCATGATAAATGGAGAAAAGATTGAAGTTGTCAAAATTTCATTTTATTTGGATCCACAATCAATACCCTTGGAAGTAGCCATCAAGAAATCAGATGACATATTGCACTGGGAAAATGTGCTGCAAGGGACATCTTTAAAGTTCTGAGGAGCGAACATGTTACTTTGAAGATTAAGGTGCTAACCCAAGCCAATGTATTTTGAATCACCTCAGATGCATGGGAAATCTGAACAATGAATAAGGAAGACTGAAGAAAAATTGATGCCTTTGAATTATGGTGTTGGCAAATAATACTGAAAATACTTTGGACTGCCAGAAGAATGTCTTCTGCCCTGGAAGAAGTGTAACCAGAATGCTCCTTAGAAGCAAGGATGGCCAGACTTTGTCTCACCTACTTTGGTCATGTTGCCAGAAGTGACCAGTCCTTGGAGAAGGACATAATGCTTGGTAAAGCAGAAGATCAGCATAAAAGGGGAAAACCCTCACTGAGATGGATTGACACAGTGGCTGCAAAGATGGGCTCAGTTATAGCAGGGATTGTGAGGACAGTGCAGGGCCAGGTACTGTTTCATTCTATTGTACAGAGGGTCACTATGAGTCAGAGCTGACTTGATGGGACTTAACAACAACAACATATTCAGGATAAAATACTGAAAGTGAGATTGCTGAGTCAAAGTGTAAATTAATATTCAGCATCACATATAATGTTTTCTTTCTATTTTACTGCTTTCTTAATGTCTAAATCATTTAATTTTATTCTGACACTATCATTCTCATCTGTTTTTCATTTCTATTGTCACCAACCTAATTCAAGACTACTCCCCAGAAAATTACATCTGCCCATGAGTTTTCTAAGTTTTCTCTTTTTTTCTTTATTTTTCCTTTCCTCTTCTTTTTCTTTAAAATCATAATGTAGCCTAGTGGAAGCAGCTTGGGGTAAAAGGGGAAATGGAGATAAATGAGGTAAGACTGAAGGGCTGGATGAGATGGAGCTGGAGACTAAAGGAGTTTCAGAAGCCAACTCTGTTAGGGGATCTAGAAAGGTGAGGCACAGTGTACAGAGTGAGGTAAGGTTCAGTTGTCATTGCAATGGGGTTTATGCTGATGTTCAAATCAGAGAAGTAATCCTGGAGAGAGGCAGCTCTATTTGGCAGTATGAAAGGTCAGAGATTTTATATACATATATATAGATATATATATATATATATATATA